CTTCGCTGTTCGATATCTTTAGCAGGCTCGTCCGCTTCTCTAGGTCGGGGCTGGGGTTGCTCAGGTTGCTGGACGGCGTCGCCGAGTCGCTCTTCGGCGGCTCGCTGGCTGCCTCCTCGGCGGTGTCCTCGGTAGCGGGCGGAAGCGCGCTGCTCTTCGTCTTGCAGCAGACCACGCAGACGCGGTCCTTCTCGTTGTTCAAGAAGGTGCAGTGCTCGCAGGCCCATTCCTCCTTCGGGATCTCCATCACCTTCTGATCGTCGGGGACATTCGAGACGCTCTCGCGTTTCGCCTCCTTCTCCGCGACAGTTAGGCTCTTAGCTACTCGGTCATCCTTCCTTGTAATCTCCTCGCTGCGTTTCTCCTCTGTTCTAGCTTCCACCTTCTTAGCTTCGAATTCCTGGTTCCTGCTGGCTGGCCTGGAAGTCTCCCTATCCGCGCTGTCCCGAAGTTTCCGCGGAGCCTCGCGGGACGGCGTTTTCCTCTGGTTATCGGACTCCAATGACTTGGAACTTCGCCTGGCAGACGTGTCCTCGAGCGAGGCTTCCCTCTTCGGCGCGTCCTTCAACGGCTCGCGATCGCGCGATGGATCTTGCTGGTTCCTCGCTTCGCCTAATCCTCTCTGATCCTCGTCTTTATCTAATCTATCCTCCTGGTACCTCCTGGCGGACGACTCTCGCGAAGCCGGCTTCCTCGGGACTTGCATGTCGCTGTCGACGGAGGATCTCCTGGAATCTCGTCGGGAGGATCTGTCGGTCTCGTCCAACGCGACGTCTCTTCTCGCGGAGGACGCTCGTCTGGGCATCGCCTCGTCGTCCCTCCTCGGCGCGGGCTCCGCCTTGTCGAAGTGATCGTCGGAGGAGCTGGTGACTTTCGATCGAGCCGGCAGCGTCGATCTTCTGTCGGACGACTCCTCGTCGGTGCTGCGTCTCCTGCGCTCCCTGTAGTTGCCGTTCTGCACGCGCTCGAGCCGAGGGTCTAGCTTCGACAGCCTGCGCTCGTCCTGATCGTACCTCCGTCGGGAGTTCAACGTGTTCTTCTGGAGGTCGTCGTAGTTCCTCGGGTGACGCTTGCTGAGACCTTCCGGCCATTCTTCGGTGCTCATCCGCTCTTCTGACAGCAGTCGTCTAAACAGAATAGAATTATGTGATGACGCTTTGAGATTCTGTTGCTCGGTGGTTTCTAGAGTAACTTACTCGCGACGGTTTCTGGATAATAAGCTCCTGTTGTCGTCTTCGTGGTAGCTCCTCTGTCTGCTCCTGGATATGCTGCCTCGTCTCGTTCCTCTGGAGCTGCGAGACAGCCGATCGTCGAAGTCCGACTCACCGGAGTCCTCGGAGCTAGCGTCTGACGGGGATCCTTGCGATATCCTGGACCGCGATCTCGACACCAAGGATTTCCTGGATTTCATGCTGGGCGATGGCGAAGGAGCTCTCGACCTTCTGCCGGATTTCACGCTTCTAGCTGGACTGTGCGGTCTCGAGAACGAGCCTGGGTAGTGTGGCGGCAGCATCTGCGATGGGGGGTAGCCCATCGGGTAGCCCCACATCGCTGGGTGGTTCAAGCTCATCGTGGAGCCTCCCATCGTCATGTCCCAAGGGTTGTTCGGGTACCACATCATGGGCATGCCGCCTGGGCCTAGGTGTGCCATGGATTGCGCCTGCGAAGTGATGATTATTATTGTAGAATCTAGCAATAGGTATCTAAGAGTCTAGGGACACAATGGTTCGAAGATTCAAAGATTTGAGAACTGAAATGTTTCAAATATTTCAAACAGTACAACTCCAAGTATCTAAGAATCTAGGCACACAATGGTCCGAAGGTTCAAAGATTCGAGAACTGGAATATTTCAAATATTTCAAACAGTTCAACTCCAAGGATCTAAGAATCTAGGAACACAATGGTTCAAAGATTCTGGAACTGGAATATTTCAAATATTGAAACAGATCAACTCCAAGTATCTAAGAATTCCATAAAATGGTTCAAAGATTCAAGAACTGAAATATTTCAAATATTTCAAGCAATTCAACTCCAAGTATCTAAGAGTCCAATACAATGGTTCAAAGATTCGAGAACCGGAATATTTGAAATATTGAAACAGTTGAACTCTTTGGAATATTTAAAGATTAAATTTCTACTCTGCCGAAGATGGATAGAAAACGCCGGAGCCACCGATATTTTCCGTTCCCATTTAGAGCACTTCAATTAACCGCCGCGTTTCCCAACGTCATAACGATCCGTTCGAAGGCCGATAACGTCACAGGCTATTCGAAAGTCGAATATACTTAACGTTAATTACCTGATGCATTCCAGGATTCCACATATGCGGCGAGGATAAATCGCAAACGCTCGCTGACTGTATCATCGATCTAGGGGGAGGCGGTGGCGGCACCGGCGGCGCCAGTCTGGGGCTGCCCATGCTCATCGGCCTTGTGTTCACCAGGTCCCTCGAAATCTCGTTGGAAGTGTGCCTCCTTCTGTTCGCATCTTGAGCGCGCATCGCTTCCTGGTATTTCCTGTATCTTTCCTGGGGGATTCGCAACTTTCTGTCCTTCTTTTCTTACACACGCCATTCTACGCCTATTCATAGCCGCTCAGACACGCTTGATCGTTATCCTCGCGCCTCGTGTTTCCGCGAGCGTTTCAATACTGGGAATACGAACATCTTTAGGAAGATCTCGATACCACGAGGAACACCGAAATTAAATAACTGAATCTCGAAGAACAATGTAAATCTTCCTCCCGAAAAGGATCTACGAAAGATACTATTCCAAAGAAGCTACTATGAAAGATAAGATAGTTTTCGTCAATGATTTTAGAATTTACTAAAGATTCCTGTTTTATTCGATAGACAGAGGTACTAATTTATTCCCAGATAGCCGACAAGAATGTCTAATCGTCTATGAAGTCGGCGGACGCGAAACGGGCGGGTTTACCTGGAGAGTGGACATCTTGTCGGTGCCCTGTCCGGATGCTTCAACGGCAGCGGCGTCTTTCGCGGACTGCATGGATTTCGACACCGTTTTCGCGTCGAGCGTCGCCGATACCGGCCTGCTCGGCAGCGTTCGCTTCAAGCTGCCGACTCTCTCGATCAAGGAGAGATTCGTGGGTCCCTGGCTTTGCGTCGATTTAGCCTAAGCGCGGAAACCTGAACTTTATTACACAGTCGAGCTGAGCCGAACACCGCTCGTAGTGTTGTTCCCGGCAACTGTGG